TGAGGTAAACACATTCAAGAGAAATTCCTCCTTTGCTGACAGTTCCTATCTATGATACATGTTTCGCAAGATGCCACCATTGAGCGAATAGAAGTTCTACAGACGTCAAAGATGCGGTCGAACTTCTCCATATAAAGTCTCATTTAATTTGGATCGCGCCGTGCGGCGCAACAGCAATAAGTCCCAGTTGCTACGCCTTACAGGCTCTTGGCAAACCGACACAGCCAGCTGCAATAGCCAACCTGCGCTGTATGTATGGGGTAGCTGTGACCGCATATCAAATGATATTTACGGCTCATGCAGAAGGCAGCAATTACAAGATAATTTCGATTCACCTTCTTTCCTTTCATTTCATCGTCTCTCCTTAATGTTCTTAAAACATTCTCTTTTGTCCTTCAGGAATTATTTACTCTTACCCGACCGACCTATCCCTACCGTCACGAACTGCTGAAGCATTTTTCCACAACCGACGTCATGGCGAAACACAATTACCCGTACAAGAAGAGCGTCAACATCACCGTTTGGTTTATCCAATTCCTCGTCTGTTTGATCCTCCTGGCTGCGTCGGCATGGATATTGTATCTTATATCATCGAATAACCGTCCTAAGAACTTTACGCAATGGCGAGGGATCTTTACGTAAGCATTCCCGTCCCCTGATAGGAAATTGGGAAAGGGGGTTGGCAAATGGGGAGCTCTAGCTAACATCGGAACTGGGTCATAGGGCCGCTGCCGGCCTCCAGATCGGCATCGTCACCGTGAATATCGTGATGAACATAGTTGAGATCGTCTTGATTGCGAAGAAACGAATGCCGCCAGCACTATTTCTATCGAACGCATGTCTTAAGTCCGCGGTCTGGGGTATCCTTTTTATCCTGAACACCATCTCGCTGTCGCTTATCGCCGTGGTTTTGACTTTGATTCTCTTGTATGTGCCACTTACCCGAATTCATCTATATCATCGTTATAATTGGGTGAGCGACCATATAACTGACGCCTACGAATAGCTTGACATCCATGATCCAACTCGTCCACGCCGCCATTATCGTCCACCGCAAGCGTCGCGGTATCTACGCAGGCGGCCAATATTCCCGCGCCTCGAACCCGGTCGACCTTATGTCGGGCATGGCTGTCGGCGCGGAGACACAGTCCGGTTACTACCACGAGAACGTTAATACCGAGTACAAGACGCCGTTAGTGGAACCGCCACAGGAGTACGGAAACTCGGCCATGGCTTACTCCCCGCGTCAGCCCAGCCCCTTGTACGAACTAGACAACCGGGGCCGGAACTAGGACGTCTCGTCGGAAGATTATGAGAGTATCATATTGGTCTAATCGACGGGTTGGAGGATTGCATTGCATCGAAAGAGGGAGACAGGAGACTGGATAAGGTCGGACATTGGCTTTTTCCGCTGCACAGCTGTGTGTGTTTCGTGCATATTGGATTTTCTGCCTGGGGTTGGACATGGGGCATAAATGGCGATTAAGAGGGTTGTTGATAGACATTAATACTGTACATTGCGTACATCGCAAGAGGGGGCTCACCTAAGCCCTTATAACTGACTGCAGCTCTTCATGTCATCCGAGTACGAGCTGTGCCATTTCATACGTCAATGATAGTCACTTCACCGTGTTGAAAGTTGGTAAGATCATCGCTTATGGGAGCAGTGCGATTTATATTCCTAGTAGGATATGTAGGTCTCGAAAATCTCAACTGAGGCGTAGCGGGCGTAGGTATCGTGCTTGTACTCTGGTACCCCTAAGAAATTTGGTAGTTAGCCCGAGTTTAGCCGACCTAGCCAAGACGGGACTCGGCAAAGAGGAAGAACTCCACGTGGTCCAAACGTCTGGGGCATCGAAGCTGCTAAGCCAGCCAAGCTTCCCAAGGTTCTCGTCAAAGCTTGTCTTTGGGAAGCTACCAAACGCTTCCTAAAATAGGAAGGGAATTGCACTTTTATATTAGAAGGACCTCTAGCAGTTAACTCTAACCCTACACAGTTAATTCATCTACAGCGCCCCTCCCAGTCTTCTTTGACCAAACAGCTCAAATCTAGCCTCTTCTGCCGAATCTCTAATATCTGTTTACCTATGTCATTGATATAGATCGACATTCAGAAGCACCTAGACAGCTAGAGTTGCCGGAACTTACCTAAGCTATCGAAACAGTGCATAAATATCCAGATATTAACGTACGACGCCGGGCTTGTTTTCGTTGGTTAGGACTTTTGTATTACGGAGTGGTGGGAATGACACATGCGGATAGTTAGCATGTTTCATACGGACGAACAGCAAGATTTGTGGTTAGGGAGGGCATAGCCACCATCTGCAGGCCTGTCACTATTTTGTTGATATATGATCTTCCAATTGAATTAGCTACTATGGTGAATACTCTCAACTTTGGATTGTTGCATCCGCGGTAAGAGTTCTAGATATCAGTTGAAACCTTGAAGCATGTAGGTCCCGTAGGGCTATGCTGGGTACCTACATATGCCGCGTACCGCTTTAAGATACGTTGTTCGTATACAATATATGGGCGCTTAGATACAAGCGGACAGACCGACAGATAGATCATGAATTTTCAGCTCCATTGGGATCTAAAACCGCCGGCTCTAGAGCGTAGTAGAACAACTATTTCCCGTATCGAATTACCTAAGTCTTCATCGTGGGGAAATGATTGGCCATCTGCAAGTTAACCAACCCCATCTCAATCCTCCACCTTCATGTAGGTACATACCCATCCATGTACCCAGGTATCATGCATTAGCAACATTGATACATATGAGAAGGTACTAAGACAGTAGGGTAGGTGTGTAGGTACCTACCAAAAGAAGCGCCACAATTTACGTCGCAAGCAGCTTACGACTTGAAATGATGACCGCCAACGGACAACTCGTCTTTACCTAGGTACCTCGTGAATTGTTTACGTTGTTAGTTTAGAGTCTTCGTTGTAGGTTCTCAATCAATTCTAGACATTGATAGTTGTGGATTTGCACCACGTACGACTATCACATACGACATAGTTGCCAGGTAGTAGGATGAGTCAGGTAGTACCAATTGACAACAACTCACGGGACGGGGGATTGAAGATCCCCCAATGGGTCTTTCCAAGCAACATCGATAACAAGCCTTTTACAAGCTTTTGTGGCTTGCAGTAGATTTGGGTCCGGCGCTGGTTTCAATCAAATTAGAGACCGGGGTTCCATACAAGCCCTTACACCTTTGCTACCAGAAAGTCTCCTAGTCCCCTATCAAAACCTGTTCAGGGTCTGGGGGTCAGGTATAGCCCCTGTTTACGATTACCTACGTTGGACAGTAGGAGGCAGGTACGTTGTTTGTAGTATGTACCCCCCAAGCCCAAGGATACAAGGGCAGCCGGCAATCATGATAGACATTGGACGATTAGACGGAAGGTAGGATGTGAGATATGCATTGGGCTGCCTCTCATAAATCCTGCCGTTATATCCGCCGAATAGATAAAGAGATCCCTCCCCCCTCTCCAACTTCAGACAGTAGAAAGAAGTCCTCACCGCTTTTGTCTTCCACTCGTATTTAGTCGCCCATTTCAGACTCTTGTCAAAGTCGTTCTCTTCGTAACCCAAACGAAAAACAATCTCTCAAAACTCAATCAAAATGCCTGCCCCCCAAGAGCCCCAGCAGCAAGCTCCCATGGAGATGACCTCCAACACCGGCATCGTTACTCAGCAGCCCGTAAGTTATCTTGTCCTTGTTTGCCCCCAACAAGTAGCAAATCAAACATAAGCAGCTCAATTGACACTGTCGTTGCACCAGTCCGCTGAACCCCAACCCGACATGGGCAACCTCCGTGGTGGTGAGGAAGCCGGCTGTGAGATCTGCTGCGGTCTCTGCGCTTGCGACGAGGGCTGCTGCTAAACGCAGTCGACCCATTGAACGAACCTCCCCATTGTTATCGCTTTGAAGAAATTGTCCGCAATGTCGTGGAACGAGCACCACGCCATACATACCCGGGCTCGTCACCAACTTATCGCACAAAACGACTTATACCCCGCATTTCCCAATTGCCACACGGTCGTTGCACGGAGACATTTTGGCAGAGGCGATAACACGGCATTCGGGGATCAATTATGTGACTTATGATAAGTGGATGGGTGGAAATGAGTTTTATGTCCCAAGTACCTAGTATTGAGAGTTGCTTTCGGTCAATAGAAATCTTTGAACAAGACCATTCGAAATTTCAACCAATGATTACCGCTAAGTTACTTGGCTATTTTCGATGTTGCGAATGCCAAGAGGGTGTTGAGTGATCTTGTCGAAGCCAATTTGTCCTGTGTTTGCTCTCGCCAGTCGCCGGGACATCTTACGGCACCTCTCCCTTCGAGACGGAAGATACCATCGGTGTCTACAAGTAACAATCACAGCGAAAAAGGTGAGATGAAGTCAAGACGCATTCCATTTAAGGTCCAACTTGTCGAAATAAGCATTTGTCCAAGACTTGGCGATCTCTTGGCGGCGCATCCCCAAGTGCTGTCAAACGGGACCCTTATTTCGCCATCATCCTTTCATGTACATGTAATCGTCCATAGATAGGTAAGCTACGTCGCTGATCCTTCTTGGGAGGATGGGATTGGGAATCTGGGGGGTAGAGGGAAATCGCCACGATTCATTCGTCCAATGTTACACCATTCCCTTCTCCGAATGGTTCATCTGAAACAATTGCCACGAGAATACCACGTTTTTTTCTTTTCTTTGTCGCTTTCTATTCTTGGTTCTTTCGGCTTTGATAAAAGAAATGGGACTTTTTTTTTTCTAACATTTTGCATCATCGTAGAAGAGCGTAGTTCCATTATTCTACCTAGACTACTTCGAAATATCGCATTGGACATGATAGGTGGCTGTAACACAAGCTCTCCTTGGACTTAATACCGGCGGTGTGGTCTAAATGAACCGGACCAATCAAATAATTCGCTCAGAGGTCTTTGGTATATATAGTAAAACTGTAAACTCTCGCAGCATCCAATCAAAGGTTTCCTGGTGTAATGGCTAGCACTGCGGATTCTGAGTCCCCCCCTGACATGAGGTACACCTTAAGCGACGGCTAGGGCCCCTTGATCAGAAAAGGTGGAGGAGACTTCCGCCAATCTGGGTTCGATTCCCAGGGAGACCTGAAATCTTTTTCTTTTTATCTCTCTCAATTCAACATGTTAAGCAAGTCTTCATTTTTAATTAATTACTAAAGTGTTGTATTTTAGAATAAAAAATTAGACGAAGTTTCGTTCGACATTTTTTGTTCATTGTGATCTGGTTCATCGGGTATCAATTTGACTTGTTTCATTCAATTGGAGTTTCTTCTCATAGGACCGATCGTTTGTAATATACATACACACTTATGTTCAACATAAACATAAACAAGTACGAGTACAGTCGCATCCAAAAGATCAGTGACTGGATGTAAATACTGAGTCCTACCATGCACCAGCCCCCCCTCCCATATCGTCCATCGTGAGCTTCATGCCCGGGCAAGCATCAAGTATAGTATAGATTATACTTAGGTAAATAAAGAGAAGGGTAGGTCAACTCTTATTTTCGCCTTCACCACCATTACTACTGCGAAAAGGCCCACTCAGCTTATCCCACATCGTCTCCTCGCCCCTCGCCTTCCGCTCTTGCCTATCCATATCCTGCTTCTTCCACAACTCCTCGACCTGCGACGCGACCTCGGACTTCGCGCGCCACTCGGCCCGGATAGCCACCTCTTCCGCGGCGCGGTCTTCTTCGGACACCTTTTTCAGCCGCTCCATCAAAACCTCCTGCTGCTCTGCCGTCAACTCTTCTTGCTGTTGCGGCTGTTGTATCTGTGGGTGTATATGCGGTACTAATGGTGGGAATTTGGGTACGGGCCGCCCCTCTTGTTTCGCGGCGTTGATCTCGGCTTCTTGGGATAGGAAACGTTGGTAGAGCGTGTCGGCATGTAGTTGGATCTCTTCTTCGATTTCGGGGGAGCGGTTGTAGGTTGATAGGTAGCCGAGGGCTTTTAGGAGTCTCTGTGATAAACGTATATAATCAGCTTAATCCCATCGTAATAAGCTCGCCGGTCCTATTTTCTGGAACGCAAGGGATAACAAGACAATGGGGTAATGAAATAGAAGCGCCTACAGTCTGCATCATGTAGCACTTCTCGAACTTCTTGATCTGGTCGCGACACATGGTCAAGCGCTCCGAGACGGTCGGGTTGTTCATGCATGTTCGCCAGTCGAACTGCTCTATGGCGCAGTTCTCCAACGCCGCTTTTCCAATCTGTCCCTTGCGCTCCTTGTACCCCTCCAGCACGTCCATCAGCTTCTCATGATCGCTCTTGGTCTCGGCCTCAATATCGGCGAGGGGTCGGTACGTCTTCCATATGTGCGCGTACCGGCCATCTTGGAATTGGCTTTGTGGCGGTACTTTCGGAGTGTCTCTATTCGCGTTTTCATCTTCGTTTTTCTTCTGATTTTGCTTTTGTCGGGATTCTTCGACCTCTTGCTGCGCAGTGTTGTATTTTACGGGCGATTCCTTCTCGAGGAATTCTCGGAGCTTGGGGTCGAGCGAGCGGAGGGGGTCGTCGGTCGTATTCGACGACCAAAGACTGTTCCACCAGCCCATGGCGAATCGATATATTTAAGGAATACTCAGATCACGTCGTCTGTTAGCTCCGTGGAGCTTATTCAAGGGGTTCTTGAGAGCATTCGAATGTGTGGATGTATTTCGTCATGTCAAAAAGTTCGTTATCTCAATCCTTATCGGAGAAGGAGATGCATTTATGCATGTATATGCGATTGTGATGGATTAGACTGCCCCGCTATTGCCGCATCCTCCTTATGACTATTTCTTACCTCTTGAAAAACATTCATCACTATTGTAACAAGTCTTTACTGGTGAATCTGTATTTTGAAGATTATTGGAGTTTATGTTCGTTATGATTCTAGCACGAAATGTACCTCTAAATCGAGCACTTTTTTTTTAGTTTCTTTGGAGAACTCGTGGTGTTCATGCGGACGACGCCGACGCCATCCGCGCGTGGGGGCAGCACGATATTCACAGATGATTCGAAGAATATACGGCGTGGCTTGCTTTTATAAGCAGAGGCATTTTGCCTACCTACCTAGCATCCAACGATACCTATTGAAATATAAGTTCCCTTACTTGCCTAAATATAGGTCTATTCAGTTGATTTCGACGCTGTCGGTGCCGAAAATGCGTGTCCATGTACAAGTCCGCGTTTCCCCAACGGTGTAGATTTGGTGGCGTTTCGAAGGCTGATATGGCGCTGGCCCTCCTATCTGCATTCCAATAAAAACAACATCGATGTTTGATGGTCAATTTGATCATGGCAGAGACCTCTCCTTTTCCTGGTATAGATGTATCCTGGCCTGCCGGTACGCAAGTGCTCCATCCCGGTTCGGACGAGTTCACCGACGCAACTTTGCGATGGACTATCTACAAGCCCCCGAGATTTAACGCAGCTGTCAGGCCGAAGAATGAGGAAGATGTAGCGAAAATTGTATGAAGATGATGCTGATACGACGATTCCACCCTATTAACAAGCCCATCAGGTCAAAGCCGCGCGAGCCGCCAACATTCCGTTCCTTGCTACCGGAGGCCGTCATGGCTACGGTACAACTCTAGGGAAACTTGACAGCGGCTTGGCTATTGACCTGAGCCAGATGAACACATTCGACGTCGACAAGGCTACCGGTATTCTGGTTGTCGGGCCAGGAGTCAAGCTTGAGGATGTTACTGGCCCTGTGGAAGAGGCCGGATATGAACTTCGTAAACTCTAGATGCCTTTCCTTTTATCGACGCCATATGTACTCTTTCCCGACATTATTCTATGCTAATCGTTCGAAGCTGTTGGTAACTGTCCCGCCGTCGGTCTAATTGGCTTGACGATAGGAGCTGGCGTCTCGCCATTCCAAGGGCTTTTCGGCTTAATGATCGATTGTCTCCGATCCGTGCGTCTCATAACCGCTGATGGAGATATTGTTGAAGCATCCGATCACATTAACTCGGATTTGTTTTGGGGTATTCGCGGTGCCGGAGCGAATTTTGGCATCATCACATCGGCTACCTATCAACTCCACAAGGCCGTCAATAACGCACAATGTTTTACTGCTGATGCTATATTTCCGGTGTCCATGACAAACGCATATTTTGATGTTCTGCAGTCATTTGAAGATAAGATCCCTCCCGAACTAGCTATAGCTACCACATACCATTGGGGTGTCGATTCGAACGCCGTAAGTGCTACATCTGATCATATTCATCAGCTTTAAACTAACTATCCATGAAGACACAGATACTAGCTACGTTTATCTACAGTGGTCCCGAATCAGAAGCTCGCCAAATTATCGCACCGTTTTTAGACCTCGACCCACCAATATTACGTGCGAGTAGCGTCCCTTACAGTCGGATGCAACATACCATATCTTTCGGAGCCGGAGTTTCGGCGTTCTCCCCCGGGCGTATCTACGATATCTCCTCAGTCAATATTCGGAGGTTCGCGGTTGAAACGTGGAAGTCAACCTTCGATAAATTCGATGCCTTCTTTAAGGCAAATCCGGATGCACGTTCTAGTGGCGCTATATTCCAGACATACTCCAATAAAGCTGTACTTGCCGTGCCCGATAGCAATACAGCCTACCCATGGCGGGATGCTAAAGGCGACTTGTATGTCCAACCAGGCCTTTCAGTCTCTCTTTCTAAGGTTCTAACACATTTCATAGTATGTTTTCCATGGCTTGGGCCCAGCCAGGAAACCCGGTAGAGGAGCCAGCAAACGCTTTCGCCCGTGAACTACGTCAGGATATCGTCACTACATCGGGGTACCCTGATCTATCAGTATACGTAAACTACGCCCATGGAGACGAGACACTTGAGCAGATATATGGAAAAGATAAGCTCCCTAGGCTTGCGAGGTTAAAGAAAGAATGGGATCCAGACAATGTATTCAGATATCATCATGTCCTACCGACAGAATACCTATGAATCGAGTATCACGATACGAGCATATTGAGAATCAAGCTTTCAACGCCACCTAGTTCCCCCCCAAACTAAAATCTTCGCGTAAAAAACAAAATTACCATGACTTCAAGCATGCATCAACAACTTTCTCGTTTACTCGGACTGTTCCTCCTTGGATTCGGCTAGTATAGCTCCAACCATGGTCTTATGGATCAAGTCCATCTTCTCCGACTGACTCTTGGTGGGGGTGAGGAGTTGGAATCCCTCGGGGACAGGTAGGGGGACAGTTAGCTTTTCGTCATCGTCGGGCGCCGAAGCTTTCTTCACCTGTGATATATGTTAATATCGAATTTCTTTTCTAGACATGCCGCTAAACGTACCTGGCTGTTCTTCTCAAAGGCCTCGTAGACTTCTCTGTACTTGGCTCCCTCGCTGTCCTGCATCACATTTTGGTACAGTTCATCTATTTCAATATCGTCGTACTGCAAGTTCTTTGGTCAGTACCCGAAGCTTTCGAAGAGTGACGTTTAGCAACTTACCAGGGCATCTGGTTCCTTAGCATCCTTCATCGTGCCAAGGGTAATATCTTTGGACAAATCAGTTAGGACCAAGTCCGACAAGTCATTCTACGATAAGTTAGCAATTTTCTTTTTATCCTAATGAGTAAAGTTTACCTCGATCTTGTCCTTAGCCTCTTTCTCGTTATCAGCCACTAAATGAATTGAATCTTTGTAGACGGCTTCAAGCCATTTCCAAGAATCTGCTGGTCCTCCTGGAGCATATTCCATTCTATTCTTGATTTCCTCATCGAATTCTTCGGCTTTGGGCTAATGGGTCGTTAGCATTCTCCGTAATGACTTCTAAAGTGATAGGGAGGCCACTCACCTTTCCCGATTTTACGGGGACTAGCAATCGACCTCGCCATCTTGCAAAATACCAGCGCTCTTCGGCGCACGCGAACTTCTTGCAGATGCCGTCATATACCTCATATGCGAACCAGTAGCAATGCCTCCTTCGCCATATACTGTATTTACCACCTTTGACGGTGGCATTCTTGAGTATTCTAGCCAATTCGAGAGCCTTGAAGTTTACGTTGAACTTGAGGGAATAAAGCGGGAGTGGAAGGATGCCGCCGTCACCGCTGCTGTTACTACTGGAATTGCTGCT